TTACAAAGCACGCTCCTGAGCCAACTGCATCAAACGATTCACTGCATTGCGCTGCTATTTTATGCAGGTATTCTGTGAGAGCGTGGTCCTGCACCGGTCGGGCCAACCCAACTATGATATGTGTTACAATTATAATATGCAGTGTGGCCCTAACACGTAAAGAATAGTGCACACGGTTCGTAGTGTTTTGCCCCGCTTGGCCGACGGATTGGGGTTCCCAGTAACGGACGTCCATTCTTGAAGCTGCTTCCCGTCACTGGTCCGGAATTTCTATTATAAATGCAAAAGGGTTATACCGCTTCTGATCTTACGACATGCACGTTTTACGAGAGAGAGCCATAACATGGCAAATAATGTATGTATGTATAGCATAGCAAGTCAGTCTTACGTATAAGAGTCTAATAACGTAAGATAAGTTTGAACTATTTGAGAACTCTGTCTTTTCAGGTAGTTTTAAATTTATGTAAATTTTTTGTTGATGACTATTTGTGGTTAAAAAAATTATTTACGTTTTGGTGGAGTAAAAAAACCCAAAGAGTTACGTGGTTTTCGAGAGTCACTATGGAACTGAGAAATGTCAAGATCTTATGATCTCCTTTTAATGTATGTTGCAACTCGCTATTAAATGATGGTTTTAAATATGTCATCATCTATATATATATATATATATATATATATATATATATATATATATATTAGTTATTTCGAAAAATGGCTTATATTTAAATAGAATATACAAGATATAATTTAGTTCTGGTGACTTATATTATTAATACAATTCATCATAATATTATTATTGTTGGTTTTAAGCGATCATAAATAACATATTTATCTCATATTTATCTCTCGTACTCAGTTCACTCCTGTAATATATAATATTAAATCCAGTCCCCAGCCCAGTGTTAAAAACCAAAGTATTACGATGCTAATTTTGTATAAAATTAAAATTATAATACAAAAAAGTAATTTAAGAAAAAGAACACAAATAATCATAACAAATCTATTACAGGATGTGAACATTGAAACAAATTAAGGAGTAAAAGCTGTAAGTTCCTGTAACTTCAAGTAAGCGAGAGGAAGAAGTGGAAGTTAAGTTTATGTATGTTTCTGAAACACCCAACTGTGTTATTAATTGCTTCCACTTTTATAGATGCAAACATTACTTTAAAATAATGTGAAGTATTTTACGTTGAGCTATTTTATCCTATTGTTATTTCTTTCAGGAGATGACTCAAAATAATAAAAAAAGGATTGCCAACCCGCCCGCCAAGCGTAGCAACTATAGCAAATCCCCTCTATAAGGCAATTAATGGGGGAGGCCTATCTTCAACAGTGGACTGTTATTTTAATAGGCTGTAATGGAATGGATTATTATTTACTATGTAATTCTACTGATGACCTTTTTTACCGTCTGGAAAAAAATAGGGTGTAACATGTGAACAGAATAAAGCCTGTGCGGAAATTTCACAAAAAAAATTGAATTAAATGAATAAATTAATTAAAATCACATATCCACCCTAGCTTGTGACGCTGTGAAATGACAAGGTCAAAGATGCCTACTGAATTTCTTATTTTATTGCCGTTCGTTAAGTATGTTGGATCGATAATGATTTGAATTTCGATAAATTTTAATTTATTTCATTCAAAAATTTTGTTTTTATTTTTAGTAAAATATTGGAACCATAGGCTTCTACTCCGTTCACATGTTACACCCTGTTTTTTCCAAACGGTAAAAAATGGTATCCAGTATAATTATTTGCAATCGTTATATTATCCTGATAGTGACATAGAGATATGTTACAATCAGGATAATATAGTGAGCATAGTAACGTCCTGCATATTGCAAAGGAATTGAATGGAAGGGAAACCTACGGGTAAAATTAGTAAATTTTGTTTTTATTCTTATTTATTTATTTAAAAAAGTTCCACCTACAATTGTTACAATTTAACATACAATCTAAAAGTCTAAAAGTTATAAGAGAGTTTTAATACTAATTGCACAATTACTTACAGGTACCGCTAAGTCATAATTAAAAACCCTAAATTACGTGGTAAAGCTATGCTGCAGCTATATTGTGGTTGCAGCACGTATGGTTAGGCTCGACCAGGGTAGGACCACGCTCTCACAGAATACCACCATAAAATAGCAGCTTAATGCTGCTGTGTTTCTTATGGTGAGTGTATAGAACCGAAAACTCTTTTTACTGGAAATGAGGCATTCCATCTCAGCCCTCAGGGGTGACAACGCATTTGCATTTTAACTCTTAATCGAGATTTAATGAGAAGAAATGAAATGAATGAATGAGATAAATGTCCATGGGTCACAGCTTCACCTTACTATCAGGTGGACTATGTGCTCGATTGACATCCTTATTCTGTAAAGAAACATACTTATGTTAAGAAAAAAAATTAATTAATATATTTTAAAGCAAAACAAATAGTGATTTAAATATGTATAAAAAGTATACAAAAATTATTTAACATAATTTGGAATTGTACAAAAAAAGTAAAAGATACTTTACGAGGAAACAAAATTTATATCAGTCCGATTACCGACCCCATTATAAAATATAATTAACCTAGCTACAGCACAGTTGTTACCAAGCACAGTCCTACGAAATGAAGGGGCAAGTGGAAGAATGGAGCTCGCAGGGTGCTTTCGATATTATTGAGAACCAAAGGAAGCAACATAAAATGAAAGAATGACAAAAGGTGTTAAGTAAGTCCGCCATTTTACATTTATAGAAATAACGTAAGCTAACTTACGACAAATCTGTCAGCCAGTGGCGTAGCTACCTTGGGTGGCACCATGTGCGGAAGTTGGTGGTGTCACCCCATCGAAATTAAAAAGCAATAAATTTACATAAAATAAATTTAGCAAAAAATTGACATGGATCATTTATTATTTATAATATTGAAGAATTAACAAAACAATAATAACTAAGGCAGAAAAGGAATTGTAATATAATTAAAATTTCTTCTTTCTTCTTTAGCTTGACAGCTGCAAACTCAGCAATAACTTCATCGAAATTTATATTTTGTACTGTCTCGTGTTAGATGGCTAATATACCAAGATTGCTAAGCCACGATTGGGTCATTGTTGCCTGCAAATAGTTTATTAATTTTAATTTACTGAAACTCGTCTCACATCAATCTCCGGACACGCAAACCGTCATGAACAATTTCAGTGCAATCATAAGATTTGGAAGAGATTCTGTAAAATCCCATTCTACAATAAACTTTAAAAAATCAAAAAATATTAGCGGCTTTTAAGTGTCTTCGCAGTCTTGGTATCTCCAAAAGTAATTAGGTTTCTGAGACCTCATCATAAAAATCAGTAAATTTACATGTAGCTAATTTCAGTTCTTCAGTATTCGTCAAAAGCAAAGCATTAGTTTTTACGATCTCGAACAATGAAGCTACATCTTGAAGAGACTTCGATCGTGTTTGGAGTTCAACTCTGAATCAGTTAAGACATTCCAACATATCTTTTTGAAGTTCCTCTTTCAGTGTGAGTCCTGCATCGCTGGCCATCTCACCAACCATCCGTTTTATACGCCGAAGTCGTTTTTCTGTTGGAATATCGTAGTCTTCTGATTTTTTGTTGCAATATCTATTGCCTCTTCCACAATGTGATCCCGTTTTTCTTCGATATAAAAACGTAGTGCCTCTATTTTTGTAGTAGTTTCGTCAACAGTCAAGCCTTTACTTTACAATGCAATCTGTGCAGAATTTGTTTCCCGAAGAACATCATACCAGAAGAAAAGATAACATAAAAAAGTGTAATAGCACACAGCAGGCATGAGATTTTGTGCAGCAACTCTGGTGTCTACATTTTCTCGTCCATCACACAACTCCTCAATTGCGTCTACAAGTCCTTCAAAATTCTCTGCTAGTGCTTTTAATACACGGTAATGAGCACTCTAACGCGTTGTTGAGAGTATTTTAATAGATAATTTGCTGTATTCCAAAAAATGTAACGCATGATACATTTTGGGCAAATGAATGTTGACCACACAAATTAATCGAGTGATCAAATACAACCTAAAAAATTGCTTTATTGTTTTTTGTTTTAATAATAGACTATACTCTCCCGTGCACACCGCTCATAACAGCAGCATTGTCATAGCCTTGCGAAGGACATATCATAATATCTAAATCGTCTGTCTTAAGCTAGTCAAGAATTTCATCGCTTAGATCAGCAGCTTTTTTTTCCTTGCAAAAGAAAAATCCAAGGAATGCTTGTTTGACTTCCACTTTCCTATTTTCTATTTTCACATAACGTATCACTTCGAACATTTGGTCAATATGTGAAATGTCAGGTGTGCTATATATACCAAAATATTTCGCTGATTTAATTTCTTTGACAAGCTTAGTTTTCACATGGTTTGATAGAACATTAATTAATTCATCCTGTATACGAGATCTGGCGACAAATATGATACTTTTGAAGTTTTATCTTCCTCCAATTTCATCTTGTGTTCTTTCAACACTACATCATACTTTGACAATAGTTTTACTATTTCTAAAAAATTGATTTCTAAAAAACTGCCTTTATTTTTAGAGTGTTGTCCTTCATCATGTCCACGAAACGCCAAATTTTGCTTAGCCAGAAATAAATTTATATCCAGTAATCTAGTCAAAAGATGCTTCCAATTCTGTTTTTCTGTATCCATCAATTGCAAAGCTGCATCATCTATTGTTCATCTATTGTTTTATTCAATTTTAGTCTTATTTCTAAAGTTTTCCATTTCTCAAGATTTCTAGATGTTCATTTGAACATTCGTGATCATCTACTTTCGGATTTAATTTCAACCACTTTTGAAATATAGTCGTAAATATTCCCGCTTTGGTATTATTGGCCATAGCAAATAAACGACAGCAGAAACAGTACAGGTCTTTAGAGGCGAGGGAATAAACCATCCATGACCGTAGGATTTTTTCACCACTAGGCATAATTTTATAAAACCAATCTTTTGAGAGATGACCAGCGTCACCTTTTATTTTGGTTCCGTGTCTAGAAACAGTGGCAAATGGTCCTTATTTGTTTTTATTATTTTAATGCAAACATTGTAAGGAACAGGAATACTCCATTCTGACGCATCATTCAATGGAGGAAATGGTTTATTGGTAGCAATAATAGTACTGCTATCGTCTGCATCATCTGCATCTTCTTCGTTTGTGTTAATTAATTCTGTACTGTCAATGTTGCTTCCTGAATATGAGCTGATATTATCTAAATCATCTCTTGCATTTGCATTAAGGTGAAAATCAGGTTCTTTTGATGAGCTTGGGCTGTCATCAGTTTTTGTAACATACTTAAAAATCGATCCAGACATACTCTGAGCTACATCCAATCTGGCCTGTTTGGCTTTCCTTTGCTGAAATCCACTTTTTCTTTTGGATGTATGCACTCCCCGTGGCATTTTTCACTTGATGTTTGTTTATTACACTGAAACAAAAAACCAGTTATTATGGTCTTTATGGAGTATTTTCTCATAAACTAGTTAACGGAAGAAAGAAACGAAAAAAACGAAACGAATTTACTAAAAACTTTAATAAAAAAATTTGAAATTAATTAATTAGACTAATTAGTATAATTATTCGAATAAAAAGATTAGTAAATTACTAATTTCGCATTCGAATGAAGTTATTAGTAAATTCGGTTTCATTCGAATAACGAAATCATTTATAGTCGCGTACTTGTCGAAGTGTAAATTTCAATTTATTATTGTGCAAAACGTGCGATTTACAACATAAAATGATATTAAAATATGAATGTAGATAAAATCTGACTTATATTATAACAATATTAGTTTATAAGGAAATATTTATGTTATAATAAGATAAAAATTCCGTTAAAAGTATTATGACGAATTAGCCTAGGTTGACTTTATGGTGCCAGTCCATACGTACTCACGCAAAAATGACTGATATGACATTAGCCATTTTGGCATAACCCTATAGGTTTCGTCCATAGAAGTACTAGGAAAATAATTTAATTATAAAATTATCTTACCTGTAAAATATTCGATATGAAGCTTAATTTAATTATAAAATTATCTTACCTGTAAAATATTCGATATTGAATCAATCTTTTTAATCTTCACAAAACAGCATTTAAGTCTCTAAAATATTTTTTTTTCTTTTTATTATCTATCACTGTAGAATAATACACGTTTAACAATACACGCCAACCACACACAACACACTTCCTTCACGAAACAAATGAGAAATGTTGCAGCTGAGACGTCAAAGATCGCGAATATGGGACGGGGAATCCCCCACGACAGCGTCAGGCTTTTTGCGGGAATCCCCGAATTATACATAGAGCTAAGCTAGTGGAGGAATCCCCGAAAAAGAAATTTTTGTGCTAGCGATTTTTGTTTGTACATTGTTCTTAAAGTTGAGAGAACGGGTGGGTGTCACCCCAAAAAAGGTGACATCTGGTGCAGCCCGCCCCCACCGCCCCCCCTATGCTACGCCACTGCTGTCAGCTGCGTGCGAATTCCGCAAATATATCGTAATGATAAAAGTTACTTACCTTCCGTCCAAAATATCATGGCCCAATGTTCAAAATACTAAGCAAATACGATGAATACGTTGCGGTTTGCCTGGGTTCAAAACCTAGTTGAATTCAAAATATGTTCACAATCACATGACAAACTCTAGTTAAGTAAAATACAATCCAACCACTGTTGATAAGAGGGCAGGCTGGTTCTTTTCTCGCTCAAAGAAGCCAGCTGATATTCGAAAGCTGCGCCCTACAACTTAGAAAACAAGTAAGTGCAAATCGCAAAACAGAGATAGCAAATCGATAAACCACGCAATTCTCATTATGTGTGGAACGATATCGAACTAATCCGAACCAACCAGCTCACAGAATATCAATCAGCACAAAATAGCAGGATAATGCTGTTATGTTTCTTATGGTGAGTGTAGAGAACCGAAAAGATCCTTTTTTACTGAAAACGATGAATTCCATCTTAATCCTCAAGAGTGACAACTCTTATCTGATGGATAGATGTAAATATCCATAGGTCACAGCATCCACTTACCATCAGGTGGTCGGTGCTCGTTTATTCAATTAACGTAAGTGTAGCAATGAATGCCATTTATTAATTTATTATTAATTTCTTAAGTAATAACATCGTTAGCATCCTTTGAAATAATAGAGTAGGAAACTAATTAGTGTAATATACGCTATTTATGGCATTTTTTCTTAGAAGAGCCTAATGACAAAGTAAACTTTACAAAGATATTGCACGAACCAGGAAATATCTTTATCAGTACTTTAAATTACGGGAAATGAGTATACAAATACACTTAACTAACTATGTTCAATCAGCTTTTGGTATAGTATCATAAAGCTTTAGACCAGTTAAAAAGTTCAAATGCTCTTAATGAATTTAATTTTTATTTTAATCACTGAAATTTTAATAAGGATATTTACTTTATGAATTTACATTTACTTTCAGTGATGCTATGAGTATAATTCGTTAAATTTTGGAGAGGGTGTCGTTTAATTTGTCCTACGACAATCGTCTCGCAAAATGTGCGCCGGAAAACGCGTGCCATTACAAAATTCATTCCAGATAACTCGTGACATAAATTTAGTATCGCCCTGTCTACAGTTCATAGAACTTGAATTACTCGCGTATACTTGTATTCATGTATAGTTGTTTACATATGTCCGAGACGAGAGTGAGTCAATCTAGAAAAGTCATTACCTTATCGTATTGGAAGTTGCGTTGTGGAGAAATGCATGCACTCAGCGCGTAGGGGACACATTGGTCTGATGATACCTCTTATCAGCGGGCACAGGCATTGTCCCTACACGACCAAGAGATGTTTATTGATTAACATTCTTGAACTTTGTGCTCGTAAACATACTCGTATTATATCAAATAACTTTATTGCTTGCTAAATATAACAAGGATTTCAATTTTGATCTAGATCATTTCTTCGTCGATTCTCAAAGCTTTTTAATAATTTGTAACATACGTATGAACATATCTTCATGTATGCACTTAGTATCAAAAGTTTATTGACAACAAAGTACACAAAGCTAAAAGAAAACAACCTTTTTAAATTCCTATAAGCAAAAAAGTTACAACTTGCAAAAAAGAAGTTATATGTACATACGCGCATACCTATCTCCCGTTTTATTTTACAAATAGTTAAATAAAGTGACAATTCGATTTAACATTTATAAACGAAGTAGTACGAAACCTAAGGCTTTGCATATCGTTGTATTAATAGATTAAAGTGGATCGGACAGACAAGATTCCGAGCGAAATATATGCTGGATATCTCTGGTGTCCATCTCGGTGTACTTCAGCGCTGTCCCCGGCGAAATTCGATTTACCGCCGGGTTGGCACAACGCAGTTCGTTGTGTGGTTCCGCCTCTTTACTTACAAGATGGCGCGATGGCGCAAAACCAGGGCTATCGACACGCAATATCGCTTTGGAAGCCTCAATAAAGAATTCGTTAGGCTACCACGATCGCAATGATAGTTCTTTATTTTGATGTGACGATCTGTTTGACGTATCACTAAATACATGACAGAAGTCAAAATTCAATATGGCGACAACCAGATGCCATATTGCTTAAAAGAATAAAAGAAAGTCAACAAGCTACGATAAGTGGAATATCATTGATTAGGTCTTCGATAATCATTTTTAGATTTCTCTAGTCATTTTTTATTTTGAATAACCGTTTAGGATCTATAACGTTTTAAAGTTTGTTAGCGACCATTCTCGCTTAAAGTTTCAAAACTCATAATAGGACTGTGATAAAGGCTTTATATAATCGTATAATGGGTATTATTAATATTTTTGTACGCAATCGGGTAAACTTGCTTATTTATCCGTTTAACTGAGACGCGATTTGTTAACAATTTTTTTAATTATAAACTCATGACAGGAAAATCACCAAAAAATATGTAATATCAACCTTTGCTACGCCGTGGTAGTTGTCATACTATAATGCCTTCAATTATGCTACGAATATCACTCATTACAATACTTGTTAGCTTGTTACAAATGAGTACAGCAGTATATACACAATTTCAATAATTATAAACTTAAAATTAAAATAATATAAATGCTACTCCACGCGGTATAGTGCCAAGAACACTGCGTTTGATTGCTTAATAGTTATACCTAGTCATTGGGCTAAAAAAGAATAAGCCCTCTTACGGCCAGCGGCGACAATCAGTCTCGACGACAGTTTTCTTATTTCTTTAGAAACTTTACCGCGCGTACACACCTCGGACGTATAATCTCTACAGCAAACGTCACAAATGAATGGTCATCTCTCAGAGACTCATATTTGTGCTATTTGCCCTGTTCAGCCAGTCGTTTACCATAGTTAATATTATGCATAAGTTAAATATTTTAATAGTTTGTAGCATTAAAATAAGGCGTAAGTGAATATTACAACATTTTCTCCAACTGCCTCACGGGTTCGTGGTGTACATTTTTAAATAACAACAAAATTAAATGGCAACTGAAAAATACTATGAACAATAATAATGAAGAAAAAAAAACTGGCCTTCGAATCCACCACGGAACATGTTTATATGACTTAGAACTACATAACATAATTGTTTTGGATCTGTACGTTTGTTCTTGTGAACTTTATGTATTTAAAACATCTCCGACACGACAAAAGTAAATCATGTATATATAGGGTTAAAATTAAAAAAAAAATGACAAACAAATTTGCGCATTTTAAAAATTGCTTATGTAGATTATATTAAAAAGCTACTTAAGAAGGAGAAAATTAGAAATAAAACGTAAATATTTTTTAGTAAATTAAAAAATGTAGTCATTCAGTCTTGATGGTGTTGTGGCTTAGTTATATATGATTACTTTGATCGTAGTTAGCAAATCACAAAAAAAAATATAAAATTACATGATGTATTTTTTATCTAAAACTAGCGCGTTCCGCACGGCTTTTTTTGGATCTAGACAATGAGTGTTTAAATCATCCAGGGATCCACTCAAATAGATATAAAAAAATCATCAAAATAGGTCGTGCCATATTCGAATTTTTGCGCAACTAACAGCAGTTGATTTTTATATAATATAGAGTATAAGCGTGCCCAACGGTTATCATTTAGGTTTCGGTTATAGTTGTGGTTCTGATATCGAAAACGCTGATGATCGTTTCTAAATGGAATGCTATCCGAATACTAATGCATTAAAATCAGAATAAATTAAATGCTGTCAGCAACCCTACCACGCGGGGGCCCGCAAATTAGTAGTGAAGATCGAGTACAAGAGGTATCGGATTACGAGCGTCCGACGCGAGGGCCTTGGCCCGGCTCGCCTCAAGTACACAGACTACAAATTTAAACAACCTATTTTTTTTACTGCATTGAATTCCAGTTGAAAAGTATTTATTATATTGCTCTATTA